GTTTTCACACGTCGAGTATTGTGATATGCATTTTGTGTATGGATTTTGCGGTGGCAATGCACGTGCTGCTGTTGAAGAGTACCAAAGGCGTTTTCCCGATCGAAGGATTCCATCTCGAAGTGTATTTACGCGAATTCACCAGACATTGCGTGAGACTGGTTCTCTTCCGAGTGTTTCTGTGCAGTCGGAAAGGGAGGATGTACAAATGAGAAACACACGAGAGAACATTCTTCGCATGATTGATAGAAGTCCGCGTCTCTCCACTCGTAGAATGGCCTCTCGCATCGGCGTATCACGTATGCAGGTGTGGCGAACTTTACATGACGAAGACCTGTATCCTTACCATGATCAAAGGGTACAACATCTGGAACCAGGCGACCATGCTCAGCGTATGGATTTCTGCCACTGGATAAAAGCTCATCCCGAACTGTTAAGCGTCATTTTATTCAGTGATGAGGCGTCGTTTACCCGGGACGGTGTAAATAATTTACGAAATATTCATACGTGGTCCCATAATAATCCACATGAGATAATGGAAACGAAATTCCAAAAGAGATTTTCTGTGAATGTATGGTGTGGTGTGCTTGGGAACAGGTTGATCGGACCTTTTGTGTTTCACAACAATTTAACTGGAAACACGTATGGAGCCTTCCTAAGGAATGAGTTACCATGTTTGTTGGAAGACATCCCGTTAACGATAAGGAGGAAAATGTACTTCCAACATGATGGGGCTCCTCCACATTATACTCAGCACGTGAGACACTACTTAGATGAATCCTTCCCTAACCGCTGGATAGGTCGTGGTGGTCCCATTGCATGGCCACCGAGGTCGCCAGATCTTACGCCTCTAGATTATTACCTCTGGGGCCACATGAAGACCTTAGTCTACGAAACTAAGGTCGATTCCCGAGAAGCACTGCGGAATCGTATTTTTGCAGCGGCAGAGCACATACGTCACCATTCAGGCAACATTGCTTCTGCTACCCAATCCCTCATGATGCGTGCCGAAAACTGCATTGCAGCTGGCGGAGGACACTTTGAACAATTACTATAAAGCAGGTACTGTATTTTAATACTTATGTAGTTGGCTTATAGCAGAATATGCAGTCAGTCATGTTACACCAGCGCTTGCCATTCATGTGTCATGTGTAGTGATGAGGCGTCTTTTACCCTGGACGGTGTAAATAATTTACGAAATGTGCATACGTGGTCCCATAATAATCCACATGAGATAATGGAAACGAAATTCCAAAAGAGATTATCCGTGAATGTAGGTATAATAAGAGTTATGTGGTCGGCTCATAGCGCAGCCATATTACGTCATCGCACGCCAGTCATGTGTTATGTATACTGCTTGGAAACCTAAGGACAATTATGACATGGCGAGCGAGTATTTTGTACTTCAATTTTATGGCTTTCCGTCACTCACAAGTTGGTTTGATGTTACGTACATTATTAACATTACAGAATCCACATATTCCTGCCAGTTTTAATATCTATTTTGTAATCAACAAGTGTGTAACCCCGGTCAAAGTTTGACACTTCTCTGGCCATTATCTCCGTAACCGTTCAACTTTGGACATAGGTGTTTTGGGTTATATCGGCATACTTTAACATAAGGAACACCCTCCCGAAGTTTGGCACATTCCTCCTGGGACACTCTGTATATTATCAAGGAAAAATGTACTGAAGTAATCTATATATTTATTTATCTTATTTGGAAGGGACCCAGGACACATGAGTTGATATAGAAATTAGGGTATGGGCCGGACAGTCAAGGGATTAGTGTTCTGGCAGAGCCAAGAGATTTTTTTTTCTTCTACACAGCATCCAAATTGGTACTGGGGTTGTACCCAGCATTCTGTCTAGTGGGTACTGTGGGCTCTTCCTGGGTGTAAAGCAGCCAGAGTATGAGGTTCACAGCTTACCTCCATGTAGTAACATACATAGGCTGGGCCACACCATAGCTCAAGTGGTTAGTCACTGGCTTCCCACTGCGGTGGCCTGGGTTCGATCCCGGGTCTGGTCAAGTGGGATTTCTGGTGGACAAAGTGGCACTGGGACAGGTTTTCTCCAAGTACTTCAGTTTCCCCTGCCAATCTTCTTTCCACCAATTGCTCCACTATCACCCTCACCTATCAACTGGGGCTGGTACAATAGGCCAGAAGTGGCCGCAGTACAAGGGACTTAGTCCCACCCAACTAGCAATAAAAAAAACGTACATAGGTTGGATCAAAAGTAGTGGCAACACCTCTATAGTTCTGGAACGACTTTATTACCTGAGGTAAACACACTTACATTCCTTCAATATAATCGCCCCCCATGTGTACTACCTTCTGCAAAATTTGTGGAAGGCGTCATACACCATCACTGCGACCACTTCTGTTGATGTCCAGCATTGACCACCCTACAGCATGAATAATCTCCGCTCTTTTATTATAACATGTCCCTTGCAGTGGTTCTTTCATATTGGCAAAGAGATCACAATCACATAGACTCATATCGGGTGAGTATGGCGGATGTTTCAGTATCACCCATGGCCAGCGGCAAAGGAGATCCTTGACAGCGTCAGCAGTATGAGCCCTTGCATTGTCATGAAGGATAATGGGGTTCATTGCCAACAAGTGTCGTCGCTTTCCCCTGAGTGCTGGACGAAGATGATTATGCAGGAAATTGCAGCAGTAGGCAGCGTTTACTGTCTGTCATTGAGGTACAGTGTGGTGCAGTATCACTCCATCACTGTCATATGCCACAGTGAACATCGCCCTCACATTACTCTGTGTAGGGCGCACTTTCTTTGGATGAGGGGAGCCAGGATGCTTCCATTCATTTGATTGTCGCTTCAAGTGCAGTTCGTATGAGCGAGCCCAAGTTTCGTCCAGAGTGATGATCATTCGAAGGAAGTAGTCGCCTTCCCTCTGGTATCAGCCCAACAAGTCCTGTGCAGTTGCATAACGTTGCCATTGATACACCTCAGACATTTGTATGGGGTACCCAACGCGCTACAATTTTGCGGTATCCAGGAATATCATGCAGAATGTGGAGCACGGTTTTGTGACATACACCTATCTCAGCACCTAACTCCCACACAGCTCATTAACGAGTGACATCCAGCAAAGAAGCAAGAAGCTGAACTGTGTGGTTGTCAACATGGGGTCATCTTGAACGACAGCTGTCCTGAATGGCATCCCTTCCTTCATGGAACAATTTCACTCATTGTGTCACCGTGTGATATGGCAAAGCAGCATCACCACATGCTTCTCGCAGTCCCTGATAACAGTTTTGTGCACTATGACCTTGTGCAACTTAAATTTTTATACAGGAGCGCTGTTCTTGTTTTGTAAACATGTTGTTAGGGTGTAAGTTTTGAGGTTTTCACGGCGATGACTATGAAGAAAGTCGTCTTCTGGGTTTTGGCGCCGCGTATTATTCGTTTTGGCCGACGTTTCGGTGCCGATACGTTCCTCTGAAACGTCAGCCAAAACGAATAATACACAGCGCCAAAACCCAGAAGACGACTTTCTTCATGTTGTTAGGGTGTTTGAACTGGGTTCCTGCACTTCAAGATGATGCACAATGCAACTCAATTAACACAACCAGAGCCACTCACTGCTCTACTTCAACTGAACTTCTGCTATCAGCTACAGACGGCGCTAGTGCCACCTGATGCACATCTTTCATGTTACAGCAGTGTTGCCACTACTTTTTATTCAAACCTTGTACTTAAGAATGTGTGGACACGTACCTCCACCTCATCATGATACAGTGCTTTAATTGAGCACAGGAACAACAGTACCGTTTTCTTATTTGGATGTGAGTGCAGAAAAATAACTCCAAAGAAACACCAGTAGAATGGGCTGAACTTATATGAAGATAACATTGGAATTCTGTGTAAAGATGTCAGTTTAAATAATATTCAGAAGAGATTGTAGTGGTGCAGGGCATTTAATGTCATGGTAATATATTTAATATGGCAGCACATGTCAGCTATTTTCCAAGTCTGATGGAACTTGTGGATAACTCTTAATGGCACATATTACTGCTCACAAACATTATACACATTTAAAAAGGAACAATGTATTCTTGTTTAGACTGCTATACCATACTCATCCTTTGCATCATTTTGGTCAGTTAACCCTTTAGCTGCTCATGGCATAAATACAACCACATTCCCTTCTGAACTTCCAATAGAGACCTATTTAGAGCCCTTCTTTTTATTAAACCAGTCCATAATCTGTGGTGAATGCTTTCAAATGTTATAAATTTGTATCCATAACAGTGAAAGGGTTAAATAACCAGTACACATAGTAAAGAAAGACATGTGTGAGTTTAATATTTTGCTTGGATATCACTGTCCAGCAGACAGACCAACAACTTGTCAACGTCTGGTTATGTAATTCCATACCATGTTTGTCCACCCATATTCATTCATTCGTGCATTCAGTCTCAGATTCTGGTATTTTTCTCTTCTAATCTGATCATATATAACAACTTGAGAATATTTTTAACCCTGTGACAGCCAGTATTTTTTTTTCTTACCGATTCATTAGGACAGGAATGAATGTACTGCCTGGTTCTTATATTTCTAGCTCTGTAAATTATACTAGATATGTGGTGACATCATGTAAGTAACAGAGAAGGCGAGATATGATTCTGCATTGACAATACAATTCATTCTGAAAAAATAACTTATCTCCCTGCATATCTGTTCTTAAATTGGCTGTGACAGTTCTGAATATGCAGCATCATTAAATAAATAAATTATAAGAAATATATTTATAACTGTTGAACTAAATAAGTACATTAATTCCTTACTCCATGTGACATGCTTCAGATGTTTTCACAGTGAACAGTACATTACCCCCACTTTCACATCACTGTTCCCCAAACCTTAAGTCCCCCTTGCTTTCCCCATCATGTATAGCTGGAGAAAGAATAATCAGACTATATAAATTCTTCAGAATATTTGTGAAAAATGGCAGAATATGTACAATTTGTAGATGATTATAGTCATCGCCTGTCATCAGATGGGACAGTTTCAGAAAGTATCCATGATGAGAAGAATGGAAAGAAAATTGATACCAGTCTTATCAGCAGTCCCTTTCATGCCTCTTGACATACGTGAACTTACTGATGGATGCTAAATTTGGAAATTGAGAAATATTAGAAAAGATTAAAGTAACCATGTTGTTATGTTTATTTTGACACATGGAGCATGAGCAGAGACCTGGAGTTATGCTGACAGATGTAAGTAGATTCAAGCAAACTGGAGTGAAGATACTATGGAATATTAAGAAATGAACAAGAAAGGAAAATACGAAACCAGGACGTTAAACAAAATCTGAAGGGTAGGAATAAGGAAAAAAAAGTAATGGTAAAGTTGTCCATGCACTTAATTAATCAAGCACCAAGCCATGTAAAAGCACTGGGGAGTGGAAGAAAAGTTTCACACTTTTTGAACTGAGCACTAGATGGAGGTGAGCTGTGAGCTTTATGCCCTGACTGCTTTATCCCCAGGGAAAGAACTCCAGGTACTCACTGGATATGAGGCTGGGTGGGCCCAGACCCCATCTGGATGCTGTTGAGAAGAGAAAAATTTCTTTCCCCTGTCAGAAATGAAACCAAGGCTGGCCACCCCTTAGTCCATCGCTATACCAACTAAACTATCCTGCCTCCAAAGGGTAGGAATGTTACAACAAATTGGTGAAATTAACACATTCACGTTCTTCTATCTGAATTTGAACAGAACCATATAGGAGGCCAAGACCCACATAGGGTTGTAGCACCAACAGAGAAAAGAAATCTCATATAGTAGATCTAGATTATCTTGAGAATACAGTCATGAACCTTCGGGTTCCATAATTTCGTTTTTTAGTTGGTTATTAATTCTGTCAGTATTTAGTCTATGTAATGTTAACCAACTAAAAAACGAAATTATGGAACCCGAAGGTTCATGACTGTATTCTCAAGATAATCTAGATCTACTATATGAGATTTCTATGTCTATGTCTATAGTCTATTTAGTCTATGTAATGTCAACATTACATAGACTAAATACTGACAGAATTGTTAACCAACTCAAAAACTAAATTACACGAAATAAGAAAACAGAAGGCTAATTGGATTGGTCATGTTTTACGCGGTAACTGCCTTCTAAAAGAAGTTATTGAAGGAAAGGTAGAGGGGCGGATAGAAGTGACAAGAAGACGTAAGAAGATGCTGGATGACCTTGGGGACAGAAGAGGATACTGTCATTTGAAGGAGAAAGCTCAAGATCGCATTAAGTGGAGGGATTGTTTTGGAAGAGACTGTGGACCTGTCGTCTGACAGATTACTGATGATGATGATGATGGCAAATAGAGTGATTGATGAATGGGAAAGAATTTGGATAGACGTGATCACAGCCTAATTGGAGTACAAACCCCAGCATTTTCCTGGAAGACAAAGGTAAAACTGTCCCTGTAGCAGGCCATGGAGACCCATAGGGTTGTGGGACATTGAGGCTCCCACATTTTCTAGACATTTGGGTCACAGATGGTGGTGAAGTTGTCAGCCTCATGTGCCGGCTGCCCACTCGTAACACCCTAGAAAGATTCCTGGTACACATTTCTGTTAGAGGCTGAGTTGAACCCAGGGCCATAGTACAGCTGGAAGCATTAGGCCAATTGAAAAATCCAGTGACCTCATTGCAAATTAAACTTGCAACCTTCTGGCTTGTAGGATTGTGCCTCAACCAACTACTCTACTGTGTGCCCATTTTCCTAGAGGGGCTGAGGAAAACCATAAAAATGTCAGTCAGGATAGCCAGTATCCTGGGTAAGACCAGAACTGAGTGCCTCCCAAATACAAGCATAGAGCATTATTTGTACAGCAACCTGTTCGGTGGGTTCCATAAAAGGTGGGGAATTTCATGAGTAACTTAGCATCTCTGGGCTCTGTAAGGACTCCACGTGACAGAATTAATTAGACAGTTCGCTAGGTGTAGATTCAAACTTCTCATCTTTCCTACTTTACACAGAGTAAGGCTATCTGAACTTGTTCCAAGATCAAAACCTGGTTGGACCATCTTTTCTCTAGTCAAAGAGTCAAACATTGATTCTTACCTACCACACATGTCCTTAAGTTATGTACTAAAACGATATAAGCAATTCAGAACTGAACATTTGCCACATCTGCTTTGCAAATTACTTTGGATCCATTAATGATCCAGCCATTTCTGTATCACATAATGAAGTATATTGAGATGAGATGCGATTCTGAAATGAGAATGGAATTAATGCTCACGAATATGTAGTGCAGTGCTTAGAATTAACTTATGGTGAGAAGTGAATTCTGTCATTGTAGCTCTGATTTGCATCTGTTAAAACATCTCCCTGTGAGCTTTCATTCACAGCTGATGGATATTGTGCACTAACTGTGGCAGATGCATGATTTCCAGATGTTGACGAAAATTGCATTGGAACTTGGCCATACTGTATTTCAACCATCTCAGGATTAGAAGTGTCAAATGTTTCGGTGTTGCTGTTTGGTTGATATTGTGCAGTGTTTGGTTGCAATGGGTTGTTACCTACTGAACGTATTTGGAGTGGTTGTGGGTAAGATTGATAAGATGCTGAAGAAGGAAGATTTCCAGTGTTCAGATTCCTTGGTGAGGAGTAATAATTTGTGATGGTAGGTTGGGTTTGAGGGACAGGAATGTTTGAGTTACTATTCAGTGTAGCGCTCGGAAGTAGCCCTGGTCTGTGGGCGTTGCTACTGGAAGATGCAGGGTTGTATGTGTTGCTTGGAACCACAGGCACTCCTGGTCTTGCAGCTGGTCTTGATGTGAAGATACCTTGAGTCAGTTCAGACAGTTGAGAATCAGTCAGTGATCCTGAAACTGGTTGTTTTGCTGCCTCTGGTTCTGACAAACGGCCAGCAAACAGGATGTCTCCTGTTTCAGTGTTTCGTAGGAAGAATAGAAATGGATGGTTGAAGATGAGTTTTGGGAGACTTGTACCCATTAAGGGTACAACCAAAGTACCTGTTGAAAGAAAATGTAAATAAGGAGCTCTTGTAATTATTTTCTTCATAGTTATCTCCTTTGCATATTGGTTACTGCATGATGTCAGTAGCTACACTGTGATCACTAGATGAATTGAAAGGATTTGGAAGGAAGTGGTCATTGCCTAATCTGGTCTGGCATTTGCCTGGGGGTACTGAGGAGAACTGTGAAAAGCCCCTCTGAAGGCCCGTCCACATTACTCATGTTCATTCGTCAGAAGCTTACTGCTGCTGGAAAGTCAGGATCTGGAGCTGATGAAGTGGACGCCCAAACTGGTTTGCATACAACACCTTCACATTTCTTCACAACAGATATCAGCTCCAGATCCTGATTTTCCGGCAGCAGTAAGCTTCTGACGCACGAGCACGGGTAATGTGGACGCATCTTCCCAGCCAAGATTATATTGAAGTCTCTCAAATATTGTATGAGCCAAAAGCACCATTAAGTATACTTTTAGATCCATGACTCTTCAAGATTCGAGAATGGTGGCCCTCATATATTGAATTAATTTTGTTGTTGGCAAAACTGGTTAATAGTAAATATGTTGCATTTCACAGGGCCATAAATAATTTTTTTCAGTATTTATTCTTATATATATATATATTAAATGAGATTTGGAATTCTCATGGTGAGGAATATTAAGACTGTGGTGATCTGGAATGTGATGTTATGCAGTCAGGTAGGCACCAGTGATTCAGAGAAACATGCCGCCTTCATCATCAGGGTAGAAGAAATGTGTGAAGGTCTTCTGCTCTGAATGCAGCGGATTTCTCTGAAATGTTGGTATGTATCTACAAGACTGCATGATGTCACATCCAAGAAAATTGTAATACTGAAACAAAAAACAAACTCCGTGGTTTTAGTCTGCAAGCGAACTATACTGACTGAGTGACTGCTGCTTGTGTGCGAAGTTAGTGACAACTTTGCGGAAAGAGGGTGTCGCGTTGTCAGCGCAATGAATCCCCATGGCCGTTAATTACGATTTTCTAGGCCAGAGCTGCTGCTTCCTTGAAATAGCCCCTCAATTATCCTCACGAGACTGAGTGGACCCCATTCCAGACCCACTACTCAGAAAATCTGGTAGTGTCAGGAATCGAACCTAGACCTCTGGATCTGTAGCCAGGAACTATGGTAATAAAAAAAAAGTAAAAGTAAAGCTATTTCTGTAACAGGCTGTGATGGCGGTAAGGTTGTCAGCCTTATGCGCTGGCCGCACTTTACTCCCCTGGAAAATTATTTAATTAATTCCTGGTACTCATTTCTGTTAGAGGCTGAGTCAACCCCAGGGCCATAGTGCGGCTGGAAGGATTAGGTCAATTGAAAAAAATCCAGTGACCTCATCGGGACTTGAACCCGCAACCTTCCAGCTTGTAGCACAGCCCCTCAACCAGCTACGCTAGCGCGGTAATGCTAACATAAAAAATGTTTGATGTAGAAGTTATGTATGTTTTGTTATATGCATATTTCTTGTGTCATTGCCTGTTTTTTAAAAATTAGTTATAAGTTTGGCTTGAGCTTCATGTAAAGTATAGATGTACAGTGTCAGGCTTATTAGTTTACCTAGTAGATGGAATCTGCATGAAATTTACCTGTGGCTGCTGCAGCTACAGTCCCTTCTTCATTGATTTCAATTTTAGTTTTGTGAAAGATGTTTGATATATGAAGATTTTGATTTCCCCATTGAACCATTCCAGTAAGGTTAGCATTTGTAGAAAACACCTCCTGTATCTCCAGCTGCAAGAGGAAGAGAAACTTGGTGTAGCTAGTATGTAACTATATAAATGTTTATATCACATGTCACGATACTCTTTGAGGCTTTATATAGCAAAATAATAATTATCTGAGATTTGAGGTTCTCACAGCAGTATCATAGTAACAGTTCTTTGGGATGTGATGCTGTGTAGTTTGGTAGATGGGTACCAACATTTCAGAGGAATCTGCTGCTTCCATCTTCAGGGTAGAAGATGGATACAGTAAATCCTCTTAAAATGGTGTTGCATCCCAGAAGACCATGATCTTAATACTTCTCTGAAGACACTAGAAGGAAGCGAACCATTCATATGTAATACACATACGATGGGGTACCCAAAAGAAACTGAACTAATTTTTTTGTGGGCAGAGCTTTTGTAGTACCGCGTTTTGCTGCTATGAGCACATAGAGCTAACATTCCTGAGTCGATAAGCCGACTACCATTGCTTCAGAAGGTAAGGACTAGTTTCGGCAGAGTTTATAGTGACAACTGTTTTGTGTGATCGTCGTTTTTGCAATGGCTGATTTTCATGAACAGCGTGCGGCGGTGAAATTCTGCTTTTTGCTTGGGAAAAGTGGAACAGAAACTCTTGAAATGTTAAAAACGGTGTACAAGGACGATGCTATGGGGAAAACTCAAGTGTTTGAGCGGTTTTCCCGTTTCAAAAATGGTGAAATGTCAATTGATGACAAACCTCGTTCTGGTCGTCCTTCCATGGCCCGAACACATGAAAATGTTGAAAAAATTCGTGAAATCATCAAGGAAGATCGACGACGGACCATTGAAGAAATTGTGGAGCTGTCGGGAGTGACTTGGAGTTCAGTTCAGCGAATTTTGACAGAAGATTTGGGAATGAAAAGGGTGGCTGCGAAATTTGTGCCACGACTGCTGACCGCTGACTGCTGAACAAAAACAAGGTCGCGTGGAAGCATGCTGTGCTTTGAAAGAAGAGTCCTGAAATGATCAAAACTTTTTTTTGTTTCCTCGAATGAAAAGAGACATGAAAGGAAAGCGTTTTGCTGATGTTGCTGAGGTGAAGGAAAAAACGACTGAGGCGCTGTCAAGCATCTCAAAAGATGAATTTAGACAATGTTTTGAAAAATGGAATAAAAGACTAGACAAGTGTATTAGTGTAAGTGGAGAGTACTTTGAAGGGGATTGAAGGTTTGTGCTTAAAATTTGAATAAATAAGTTTAAAAAAAATAAGTTTGGTTTCTTTTGGGTACCCCCTCGTAAATTGTTTTATTTATTTATTTATTATTGTACTGAACAGTGGACTCACTATAGCCTTAGAGTCACATGTTGATAAAAGGTAAGATATTTTGTGATGACTAAAGGAGCAATCTGAATAAGGATACACAGAGTTTCCAAGTGAATTCTTTACTACACCTTTGCATTTTGAATGCACCTAGCTGTTGCAAATAGATTTTATAAAGATGTTAAAAATATTAAGTGGACCTACAACTTTAAAATGTAATGTTGCTAAACTTGTCAAACATAACATCAAAAGTATATGAGTTTTGTTTGTTCTGTCAACCAAAACAATATTCCAAACATCTCTCTCACATTTCACTGTACATAAATTAGTCTGTTGGTTATACAGTGTTGGAACATGTTTCGACTCGTGGAGCTGTCGTCAGGTGATACATCAACAAACCAACTATGAACTAGTTGGAACCCAACCGGCGACAAAAGCGAATGCGTTAGCATAAAGAATAAAGACTACAAATCCATCAACACCATTATAGTCAGATCATGGAAGAACATGATTAAGGACACAATGTAATTCAACAAGATAATACAAGAAAATGTCAAAATACTAAGCTCTGTAGTCATCCTAAGAAGAAAACATTAAATGAACTTAGGAGCAAAACACAGCCAACCATGATAAAACATCAATTTATTATAGACAACATAAGCAGTGACAGCTGTATCGTATATACATCGTTTAGAATCAAGACAGTAACTATAAGCCAAAATGCAGTCACATTGATGGTGGAAAGCCTGGCACAACCAACAGAAGAAATATATACATAATTTTAATTTTATTTAAACTAAGGGGGGACTCAACCACTAAGAATATTTAGACTGCTGTATTTCTGAGAGTTCAGTATTTTAATAATATTTTAACCTATTAATATTTTTAATTTATATATTTGTTAATAGTGTAAGGCAGTAGTTTTAAATACTTGTTTGATACATCTTTAAAGCAGCATAAAAACACAAGCACTTAATCTGCGCATATAAAGGTGATTAACGAAAGGGAAAGAAGGAAACTATATTGTAACAGATTTGATCAGTGGGTTGCCAAGCAACAGCTCTGTAATCACAGTCCAACATGCAACAATAGAGGAGGCTGTGTTTTCCATTGTCCACGGTGACATCACACAGCAGTGGGTGGTGGTCACGTGATGTGTTTCCTGTGATGCATGTGCGTTTCCCGGCTATATAAGTGACAGAATTTGTTCAGTTTAGGGACTAGTCAGTTCTTGGTAGGAGACAGGCAAGGGAAGTTTATAATTGAATAAGAGTACAAGAAGTCAGCCTTTGAAGATTTAACGTGTGATTTGAAGGCTTTATGTGTGCTGTCAAAATACTTAGGTATTCATCTAGACAACCATCTAACCTGGAAGGAACACATTACTAAAAAATGCGAACAGATTGATTTAAAAATCAAGGATATGCATTGGTTAATTGGAAGAAATTCCAAACTCTCATTAGACAACAAAATCTTACTTTACAAAACAATAATAAAACCAATTTGGGTATATGGAGTGGAAATATGGGGATGTGCTAGCAAGACCAATATTTCCATAATCCAAAGATGTCAGTCAAGGATACTACGTATGATTACAAACGGCCCCATGGTATGTTTCCGATATAACACTCCATGAAGACCTGAAAGTGCCGCTAGTGAAGGAAGTTATAAAAGGGAAAAGCACAAGATACCTCAACAAAACAGAAGGACATGAGAACGTACTAATGCAACCGCTACTGGAACCGCACAATGAACGAAGACTAAAAAGGTATTGGCCAGCCGACCTGAGAGAGGGTTAACAAGGACTTATCTCTGGATAAGCCCTCTCCACGTCACGATGAATACTACAGCAAATTAGCTTATAGAATCAAACGTAATTCTGAGTGCTAATATTCTGTAAATAAAAAAAAAATGTGTGCTGTAGCACACTGATATTGGGAGTGTGTGATTTAGTGAGATTTTTCTAGTCCCTGTGTTGTAAATCCATGGGGTCTGGACAGAGTGCTTATAAGAGAAGTGAATGCAGTGACAGAGTTAGTTCAAGAGTAGTTACAAGTCAGCCATAAGCTGTAGATATGAGTCTGGAAAAATTTTTAGTTCCGAGGTTCCAGAGTGATCGGAGATGTAATAGCAAGAAGACTTTTAAGTGACAGTTTCTCTGTTGAGATCCGTTGCTAGGAGACGACTTGTGGAAACTGATAATCCTTGTGCATGTGCAACGGTGAACTGGGAAGTATGTAAATCAGCGATAGCACTGTATTTAAGTGTGATTAAGAGAACTTGTAACTGAGGTGCTAATAAATCCAATCATCTGAACTCGAACCCATTATTTTCATCACGCATACCACCCTACACATGACAGTATTTTTCGGTAACACACAATAAATACAATATATGGAGCCATATAGGAGGCTTAATTGAATAGTATAAGGTTTATTAATGTATCCATGAGCTGAAACATGTTGCGATGTTGTATGATCAGTAAACCCAGTTATGCACCGTGAAATGTAAGCGAGTTATTTGGAATGTTGTGTTTGACAGGACAAACTGAAATTATATATAGAACTAACACACAACAGGATGCATCCCTTAAAGATAACATCGAAAGGCTGCACCATTTTTAATTTCATATGTATGATTTATCTCCATACAAAAATTCAGTTACCTAACTCCAGTGTTTCATTTGCTGTCATTACCAAACTGAAAGCTAAATGCAGATTTCGTGAGCCTCCATTTCATTGCCTTACATTTTACCCACAAAAAGATGCCTTAACAAAAGCTGCATATTAAAGATCTGTCACCACACCTTCAGGATCCTGTATTAAGTGGTGCTAGCGTCTCTCCCACTTCAAGGGTTTGTGCATTGTCTGGTAGTACTGATTTTAGGAAATGAAAAGGTACAAGTTTGGGGTTTGCCTTGTGCAACAAACTGTCCATACTTAATTTATCGTGTGCTTCTCAGATTGAAACGTGGGCAGACATATATGACCAGCCCTAATGCATTCATTTCATGCACATCATGCCAAGAATCCATAAAAGTTATTAGTGCTCTGATGCTGTACCCTGCACAGAGCAGAGACAGTTGCTGGCCATAGGAAGGGTGAGTGTGATGGTGGATGTGGCTGCCAATATAACACATAGTCTTATGTCCTTTACTGTAGCAAGAGTTTATGTGTATATGAAAAGGTATGGTAATATTTCGTGTTCAAAATTTAATGATTGAATGTTTCCAAAACATTCAGTCATGACATATGTCATAATTCCTTCTTTAAGGCTGGTACACTCACCTCATTTAGCTTCTGAGTCAGGTCGGTGCTGTAGTCGATACTAAAACGTGGTACAGATACCAGGATATCAGTGAGTTCTAGAGAAGACACTATGTTGTGAAGTGAGACGTGAGTCAGGTCACGGATCATTTGGTGGATTTCGTTGCGTTTCGTTGGTAGCAAAAGCAGCAGTGAAAACTGGTTACCCTGTTATAAATCATACAAATGCAAATAAATAACGGTTTATGGATTCTTTCTTCAGAATTTGGAAGTTTAGTTTGGACTCATACCAGTCCTAGTTTTTCCTGTCAGTTCCAGCAGTTTTGCACAATTTACTTTTCTCTGTATCAGTAACTGTGAATATTTCAGACACACAGTGTGATGCCACTGAAAGCTTCTTTAGCTACAGATGACACAAAACACAACATGCTATGAATGAGATTAGTGCCGACAGTGTCAGGTTGTATTTGCTCTGCCTCTTGGACAAGTACAGATTGGTACAGATGTGTGGAAGGAAGGGCTGGGACTATACCAGTGGCCCCAAAAAGGACTGTTTTAGAAGAGCACATGCATGAGAGAGGAACATTTTAGAAACATAGGAGGAAAGGATATTGATAAAAGAAGAAAACAAAAAGAAAATGGGAAGGTGAAATGAAGGGAGAAAATAGAAGGAGGCACAGGGTTTTTCTGAAATGCTGATACCTGTTTGCTAAACTGTGAATCATAGCATCCCCCCCCCCCAAAAAAAATATAATCGTGATATTTATTTGTATAAGAATGTTAATATCACATGGCTATATGCATAGTGCATCTTGTATTTCAGTCCTCAAACCTTTCATATCCCATTCATTACCCTGTACTTGTTTCCTGTATACAGAAAACAATTGAAGGGTGCCTCTGAAAATGTGTGTACCAGAATTCCATACTACCTTCATGTGGTATTGAAGACTATCTGTCAGCACGTTATCACATCCTCGGTCTTTAAGTTTGGGTGTCCTGTCTGACCCAGCACTTGGTGGGTTATAGACTACAAGGTCTTTTATAATGTTTAAATATACTGACCTCATAAGGCAGTTCAACTGCATGAGCATGAAGGTTGCTAATATAGGCATAATTGTAGACATTAACAATCTCCATAAAGTATGTGTCAAGGCATTGATTCACTTCTACGTAGAAGCATTTCACTGATGTCTTGTCAAAGTCGAATGCATTCCGCCATTTCCCTTTGAAATACATGGCATTGGCAATCATTAGCTTAGTGTTTCTTGAGAGGTTATCTGTGAGAACATAAAAGCATACAAATATTACAGTTTTTTTTAATTCGCTTTTTTTTTTATTGCTAGTGGGGTGGGACTAAGTCCCTTGTACTGCAGCCACTTCTGGCCTATTGTACCAGCCCCAGATGATAGGTGAGGGTGATTGTGGAGCAATTGGTGGAATGAAGATTGACAGGGGAAACCGAAGCACTTGGAGAAAACCTGCCCCAGCTCACTTTGTCCACCACAAATCCCACTTGACTCGAACCCGGGCCGCTGCAGTAGGAAGCCAGCGACTAACTGCTTGAGCTATGGCGCGGCCATAATATTACAGTTACTAGTGGTTTATTGACAGTTTTCTGAAATCATGTCTTTTCTGTGGTTTATTTTGTGACAGCAGCAGTATGTCTCATGTAACCTCACATGGTAGAATAATTGATGACTGATGAGTTGGAAAGTATTTGGAAGTAAACTGTTATGGCCTGATTGAGGTACTAGCCAGAAATTGCGTGGAGGAACTGAGAAACACCTTGAAAAAGTCAGTAAAAATAAATCAGTGGTTAAACTGATAATTGGACCTGATCACACGACATATCAAGTTTATATTTTCACAACATAATATGTTAGAATCAGTTTTTATACCAATTCTTTCTTGGCCTTCCATGTGATGACTTTCAAACAGCTTTCAGCACCTCAGTTTTCTACACACAGTTCCCTCAGTCAGCTGACATGCCTAGGTTATCTCAGCTGGATTTCATAATTTTATTCACTCTCTCCAAGTGAATACAAGGATAATGTCTTGAAAGAGGCTACAACTGCTTCCTTCCAGGTCTGTACATACTTATCATTCAACAACTCTTACCATGTGAACAAAATATACAGTTGTGTGATTATCTTCTCTTCTCTCTCTCTCTCTCTCTCTCTCTNATAAATTAGGCTTATGAGGTCACTTTGCTGTGTGTGTGTGTGTGTGTGTGTGTGTATCCAGAATGCCCTGGGTTTAAGTTTGGCTTTCTTTTAGACCGGCTATCATGACTGAGCTTCTCTTTTCTGTCAGTCTCTCTGAGCAGATGCTGGGATAGCATCTCTGATTATGCCATGACCACTTCCTTCCACATCTCCTCTACAATTCATCTCTACAATTCATTATTCACTATCATCTGACCATTCAATACTGTATAGTCTGAGATTCCAACAGCATCATTAAGTTAACTATGAATGAATTTACAGTTTCATTCAACTATGCATCATTAAATAATGTAAGAACCAACCGGCATATAATGGACAGTAAGCCATATTAAGTACCTGAGTCTACAAGAGATGGTATGTGTCCATGAGTGAGCATGTTGACCCATCTGTTAATGAACTGTGCTGCAGAAACGGGTGAGGAAAAGTCCACCTTTTCAATCTGAGCCATGTAGTGTTTCTTGAGCACACTCTCATATTGCAGCTGTGGAGTGATTGTGTGGGACAGGAATATTTGATTTGCTGCCTCCACTATGTTAGATGGATTATTTACCTGTGTCATAAGATTTATAGCTTTACTAGAAGTAGAAACATATATGTGTAAGAATTCTGGTCTGAAACTGGAAATATAATCATAAATATTGTCACTTGTATTAGTGGCTTTAGATGGGGTTTGCATTGGTCAATAGATTTCCTGAACGCTCATGTGTCATAACTGCAAATAATTATATCACTCTCAAGATTGCTGTAACCATAGCACACAAAGTCTGCAATGTCTGTTTGCTAGTCGTTGTTTGCTAACAAATATTATCTGGTTAACAGCTGAATACTCAACTATTGAACTGCCATCTGAATTATCTTACAAATGAATCTCTGACTGAGTTGAATTCATGAATGAACTCTCTTTTATCACTTCGGGAAGACCGAATAGCGGCCACCACACTCAGCAATTCATCTTTTGGTCTGATGTCTGTTGTAGCGGAAACTAGTGAGCCGTTGCCTTGAAAATGGTAATTTTCATCACATTGTATTATCATGTGGTGTAATCAGAGGCAAGGTTTGGATTGGTAATTGGATATATTGGACACACTCGTAACTACAAATAACTACAACAGCCTCACTGAGTTACACACTCCAAACATCACTGTAACTACAGCACACATAAAGTCTTCTCAATCTTCACTAGTCGTTGCTTGGTAGCGGCTTCAGTGGCGGGCCTTTTCCTTACTTTGGGTTCCCAAATTGTCCCGACCCTCGGCTACCAGCTTCTTGCTTCTCACACATGCAAATCTCAACTCTATAGCCCCAGCACGGATCACACAGACATCTCTTCCATTATCACATGTCCTCTCATTGCCTGGGAAACAGCGTGTCCACAGAGCTGTTCCCTAGCAGCGGCTGTTGTACTGTCGTCTGTTTACACAGCTGTCACTCAGCAATGGGTCTACATGTCACAGTACAAGGTGCGACAATTTAATTCCTGGAAGGGCCCTGTGAAAGCAGAATTTGCTTACCTCTACACTAGTGGCTCCTGTCGCCTTCGAAATACATGTAATATCCTTGTGAAGCTGTGCACTTCGTGAGACGATGGTGTCACTGCTGGAAACAGTCTTGAAAATCGTTTTCCGGAATACCTTGCAGTATCATCACGTTGTGTTGGATGTCAAGAATGTCAGCAAATCTTTGTCCCTTCAGGGCATTTTTTAATTTTGGAAAGAGCCAAGAATCGCATGGGTCTAAGTCAGGTAAATAAGGTGGATGGTCCATTTTTGTAATGGATTTCTTAGCCAGGAACTCGCAAACTCTTAATGCATCATGCACAGGGGCATTGTCATGGTGGAGAATCCACTTGTCAGGTCAGATTTCAGGTCTTTTCCTTCAAACAGATTCCTGTAACCTTGTCAGTACTTCCAAATAACACTGTTGATTCACTGTTTGTTCTTGTGCAGTGAATTAATAGTGAACTGTCCCCTTGTGATCGAAGCAACACATAAGCATGATCTTAAACTGCGAGCGAGACATGCTTGTTTTTTCGGCTGAGGTGAATTCTCTGTTTTCAATGGCATGCTCTGGCGTTTTGTTTCTGGGTCACATTGAAAACACTACGTTTAATAACCGGTAATGACCGTATCATATATCCCTGCATTGTGTAAAAGATCAGATAAAATGTGAAGCGGACATTGTTTCTGGTCATCTGTCAAGATTCGAGGCATCAACTTTGTGGAAATTTTTCTCATTCCCAAATTATCCGTAATAATCTGTTGCCCACTTTCCTTATTCATATTCATTTCTTCTGCTATTAGTCTCACACCTAATCTTCGATCTGAGCTGACCAAGGTTCATACTCTGTCCACATTTGCATCTGTCTTTCGCGTTTTTGGCTACCCACTTCTTGGGTCATCTTGCACATCTCACCCTTCCTTGAACTGCCTATACTGTTCAAGAACACTCAATTTCTTCACAGCATATTCACCATGAACCACTGTTATAGAGTTAACGTTTCACTAGCACTTTTACCAGTCTTCACACAAAACTTGATGTTTATTCACTGCTCCAAATTCTTGTCACTCATTTTTCCGCCAGCATTATACCACAGACACATACTGCTTCCCTCTGCTGCTCGGGAATGAATGACTCGGTTGGTCTGTGACTCATGTAAACACATTTTTGAACGTGTCCAAACATGCTTGGGTACATGATTTTTCCTGACTCAACACTCCATTGACACATTGCGGCCATTCCGGGAATCAAATTGTCACACCTTGTATGTTTATGTCTCATCAACAGAATACAGGACAACATTGTAATATGGATACACCTCCTGAATGCTTTAACAATTTAGGAAATGTATTCACAGCATGACAGTTATTGTGTCTTCATTCCGTTTTGTTTGAAATAGTTGTGGAGAAATTGTTGGGCATAAAATATATGCTCCTTTTTTTCTCTACCACTTTTCTTCCCAACAATTTTTGCTGTGATAAATATGCAGTGAGTAATGCTAAAGCAGGAATACACATAGATGGTAATTTTAGAATGTCTGTTACTGTTAACTTTGACCAAAATTAGAATGTTCTGGCAAATTTCAGTAAAACTTTGCATTGTAAGTTTTCTCCATATTTATATTAGGACAGGCAAGAAGGTAGACAGACAGACATGGTGAAGTTAATGCCAGCATTTTTTCCAAACTGATCGCTAAATATTTTATATTATGCAAACCTGCCCAAAACGTGAGAGAGTTGAAGTAGTTTGGAATGCCAATCATAAATCAAGATGACATTCATGATGAAATTAAAAGTAATCATGTATATGTCTTAATTTCTGTGATAGACTTCACCTGTAGAGAGTTGAGTAAATTTGTGAACTGGTCCCGCATAACCGTTTCATCATCTGGAAGTCTGAGAGCTTCTTGAAGCTGCTTGGCTGATTTTCCCCTGGCACCTTCTAGAATCATGCCCAGTGCGGCTTTCACACTGGCTGGTGAAAACAGCAGGTTTCCATGTTGAGAAGTGGCTAGTGACTGCAAAATAATAAAACACTAAAACAAGGCTTACCTTCACATGTTGCTACAAGAGTTTTGATTTAGGTATTAGCCTAAAGATAATGCACATTAAGAATAACTGACTCACTGACTATTAAATGACATTGCATCACCAGCTAAGGTTATGAAATGTCACCATTCATGGATCTTAAAGAGATAGGATGGAGTGATATGAATTGGATTGATTTGGCTTGGGTTAGGGACAAATGGAGGGCTCTTGTGAACATGGTAATGAAGCTTCAGGTTCCATAAAATGTTGGGAAATTTTTGAGTAGGTGTGCAACTGGTGGCTTCTCAAGAAGGGCTCAGCTTCATGTAGTTAGTTAGTTAGTTAGTTACATGTTTCCGTCACTACTGTCCACCATCAGAAGGCAAAACCAACACTACAGAGGAAACACTTTACATATATGATAAACACAAAACAAAACAAACTCTGTGATTTTAGTCCGCAAGCGAACTATACCGACCGAGTTACCACCGCTTGTTGGCAAAGTTTAGTGCCAACTTTTGCGGAGAGAGGGTGTTGCGTGGTCAGTGCAACGAACACCCACAGCTGTTAATTTCGGTTTTCTAGACCGGAGTCGCTATTTCCTTGACATAGCTCCTCAGTTATCATCACGAGGCTGAGTGAACCCCTTTTTAGACCCACTACTTCTCCAAAAAAATCTTGTAGCGCCGGGAATCGAACCCGGACCTCTGGATCTGTGGCCAGGAACGCTGACCACTAGACCACAGAGGTGGAAACACATGTTGTTTAAAATGGATTTATACCATTAGAAATCAAGATAGATTAAAATGCTAAAATAATTAAGATAAGTTCAGTTATTAAAAGATTGTCAATATAAATGCACTTAATTAAGAATTCTTATTATATGGGTACATATGTCCAGTGGCAGCCACACACATTTATGAATAAATGTAAAAATTTTCCATTATATTCATTAATAGGTCCTATCTTGGATGCTTGATTTTGTCTGTAATATCCTCTATTTTGCCATACTGGTATATGTTTCCTGAATCCTCTCTGTTATATTTTATGTTTCTGACATGTTCTCTGTATCTGGTTCTTAAGGAATGTATGGTCTGACCGATGTATGTTTTTTGGTGATCTAAACATGGTAGTTAACATGTGCCATTGTGAGCATATCTACTGGTGCACGGTGTTTTTCTGAGTATGTTCCCAATAATGTTTGATACTTATTAATATCAATGTAAAGTTAGGTAAACATTTTCAAAAGTAATATTTATTAATAATTAATAATATTAAAAAAATTGGATTGTACCTCACAGAGATACATTTCATTTCCATTACAAGGACAGAGTTAATCCTGTGTATGTAAATAATTGTTGCTTACTGTGAGATCCATGAAACAAACATTACCTCTGTGGTCAAAATGCAGAGATTTTTAGTTTAAAAACAGCTGGTATGTATTATCAGTGTGTCTGAAAGGGCTGGAGGACATCTGTACAAACTGGGATTATTTGAGCTTTTCACATATAGTATGTGTCAGAAATCTTCTGAAATGTCCTTATTTGTAGTGTGCTATTGGAATCCCTGTGTGACGTGTATACTGTTACTTCTAATCTAATTTTTTATGCCTAGTGATTATCATCAGGCCTCAGTCATCAAATTACTGCAAAATTAACAAAAAGTGCCAAGTTGTTGATAGCATAATTGTTGGTCATACCACAAGGATAGCCTGACTCCAACCCCCCTCCCTTCAAATTCGAATTCGCCTATTGATGATTCACAACTGTAAAAATATCACTGTCTTAGTAGGTGAACATTGACAGTCTGTAGATCAGCAAGTCTCAGTGCGGTACAACCTAGTGATGGAAACAACTTTACAATATGGTGACCATGGATTTTGTTCCCTTTTTACTCACTTACATGGCGGTCTTTATAGTGGAACTTTCTCTCAGGATTAGTCTTCCTTATATCTGCTAGGTCGAACATAAATGTAACTTCAAATTAAACTAATCCAATGTGTAGCTGAATTCAGTTCCGATTTTCTGGGCAAATGTGAAGACAGATCCAAACAAGCTCATATGTTTAACTTTGCTAGTAAAAATATAAAAGTTTCCCCTGTGCTTTTAATTAACTAAGCAACTATGCCATGAAGACATGGGAGAGTGGAGGTATAGCTCCTCCATTCTTGACCTTGACACTTGATGGAGGCGAGTGGCCAGCTTCACGCTCCTGTATCTTTAACCCCGGGGAAAGAGTCCCAGGTACCCATTGGATGGAGGCTGGGTGGGCCCGAGAACTGGTCTGGACGACGTGGAGAAGAGAAAATTTTTGATCCTACCGGGACTTGAACTCCGACTCCTGTGTTATCCAGCCCGTAGTTAGTCACTATACCGCCTGCGCTATCCAGGCCCTTTAACTTTGCAAATATAAATGTTTGGGTAATTTGTTGAAGTCTGGTATGAGCAAGAGAAGCATCAGCAGCTGGTTACTAAATTGTAAGGACATGCGAGTATTTTGAATGGTGTTGTTTCCTGTCAGCTGTCCGTTGTTGTCACATCTTTTTTTTTTTTAATAAAAGTTTCATCAGGCCATATAGACATAGTCACTATTTTATCTTCATGTACAATATATTTTAACTTTTGTGTGGCTGATTAGAGGGATGTTCTTTGTGCCATTTTCGACGCTGGAGCCTAACGTCAGTAATTATAGATTAATTACTTATGCAGTTGTCTGCAGTCCTCCGCGCCTCTGGTTTCATATAGTTCTAGGTTGCCGAGATATTTAAAACATCATAATTGAACCTTTCATTGGTTTCCCATAATGCTATGCATTTCCCTGCGCAAAGCGTTGAATGCATGGACACCCCTCTTTCTTCATGCTCAGGTAAGATGCGCACGTTATTCAGCGCCAATACTGAAAGCGGAGGATATATAGTCGCATAGAGGAATTTAGGTTAGGTTCTTGTTTGAAATACTAATTTTATCTCGCATTTTTCATCTTTATGGCGGTCTCGGTTACGGTATCTTAATTATAATTTGCTGTAACATGACTGGCTTTCAGCATTCGCAGAATCCACTGCCTAAATATTTATATATTTTCTTATGGTATTTAAAATTGTTGTTACGGGAAACATGTGGGTAATATAAAATATTAACCTGACAAGTGTCGCTGTTTTAATAGGAATTACCGACAGCATTTGATATCTGTTACACTCAAGAATTTTCTCTTCTCCACGTTGTCCAGGCCGGTTCTGGGGCCCACCAAGCGTCCTATTCAATGTGTACCGGGGGCTGTTTGCCCGGGAGTAAAGCAGCCGGGGCGTGAAGCTGACCACTCACCTCGAACTAGTGCCGAAGTCAAAGAAACGTGGATCTATACATCCACTCCCCCTTACTCCCTCATGGCGTAGGGCTTATCTAACATTTCATGAGTGGAACGACTCTATTGACAAGTGTTCTTATTGTTTTGTTTCACGTAAAAAGAAGCCTAAACGTTACGGAATTACTGTCACGGCCGTTTTGTAGCGAGAAAAGGTAAAGCTGAATGACCTTGACGCGGTTAACTAAAAATACCCGAGCTGTTACTCATAAGACAGGCCTGTTATTTAATGAAGACAGCTGAGTTCCTGCACAGGGCAATTGGTCGAGTCGACCCTGAAGGATGTATGGGTCCGTTTTATGACAGTTGCATATGGAGAATTAGCGTGTGGAGTTAGCGTTGTTGGTCTAGCTAGCATTGAGCTAAATAAACTGAAATGCAGTCTTTTGGACAGACAGGAGAAATAGCAAAAGGTAAAGTTGTCCCTGTGCGTAATCAGTTAAGTACTATGTCATGAAGTTATATGGGAGAGTGAAGGTGTAGCTGCACCTTTCTTGACCTCGGCACTAGATGGAGGTGGTCAGCTTCGCGCCCCTGCCGCTTTATCCCCTCGGGAAAGAGCCCCGGTATCCATTGGAGAGGAGGCTCCAGAAATTTTGCACTGCCCGGAATTGAACCCGAGACGTCCAACCTTTAGACCGTCGCTATACCGACTGAGCTATGAAATGGTGGCCTGTCAAAAGTGTAGTACTTGAGGAGTAACAATCTTCCGTGATACTACATCAATAAATCTTATAGTTACCGGTTCATGATCTCCAGATAGCTACAGCTGTATTACGACTGTTTCTCCTTCCGCTATCATTTTCTAGGTTCACTGTCTTTATTTCCCTTCTCTTCTCCCTTTTTTTTTTTTTTTTTG